TGTACTCACCTCATAGGCACAGATGTTAGGAAGGTGTATGGGGGGTTATTGTTCAATAAACATGCATTTTATCTCGGATCTTTTTAAATTTTCTCCACCCCTTCTTCGTCCTGCAATGACTGAGTGCACCGGCTTTCTACTGCGCCACAGCGCCACTATAGTGGTTGGGAGGTGTATTGCACATTGGGAGTAAGAGGCTCTAGCCTTGGACCAAGACTTACTACCAATGTGCAATACACCTCCCAACTGCTATAGTGGCGCTGTGTGTGCGTCGTATTGCACATTGGTAGTATGAGGCTCTAGCCTTGGACCAAGACTTACTACCAATGTGCAATACACCTCCCAACCGCTATTGTGGCGCTGTGGCGCAGTAGAAAGCCGGGGGAACTCATTCATTGCAGGACGAAGAAGGGATGAAGAAAATTTCAAGACATCCGAGATAAAATGCATGTTTATTGAACAATAATGGATATACAAACACACGGCAACCCCCCGTACACCTTCCTAACATCTGTGCCTATGAGGTGAGTACATTACATGTTTGATTTGAACGTTTATGGAGACGTGAATCGGTCTAGAACGGGAACCCCCACACGAAAAACGGGGTTCGTTTTCAAGACGACCATCACATATCTACCCTCTTTATCCTCAATTGTTTTTTCGCGACTAAAATAAACTGATTTATGTAGCAGGATGGCGACTCCTCTTTTCCTCCCGTTTTTGAAGGAGGAGCTATGTATCTGATCCACCCATTCTCTCCTTAATTTTAAATGCTCTTTTTCTGACAAATGAGTCTCCTGTATCATTGCTATAGAGCAGTGTAGTTTTTTAAGTTGGTTGAATATTTTTTTTCTCTTAATTTGACTACTTATACCCTTTACATTATAACTTATACAATTTAAACTATCCATGTATTATTAATTTGTGCTTGTTGGTATGCTCTCCTCTCAGCATTTAACAAATACACATAAAATCAAGAACAACTGAAATGATGCATAATGACAATGACCCAAATCCAATCTCAAGGCAGAATAGAACAAATAACATTGAAAAAACAAAATAAAGTGAACTTCCAAATACCCAACTGGATTTTTCAGTCCATTGTAGTAGAACTTGGTATTCATCCTAACGTTGATTGTTCATTCATCTCCACTGAGGAAAGCCTTGACATCCATAGCCGGTAGCACCGCTGGGTCTTTCCCTCGTCTCCCGCGATGCTCCACCTGTAGCGTGACAGCTCGCTCTCTATCCGCTCCCTCTCATCCACCCGGACCTGAATCCCGAGCTCCTGTAGCGCCAGGAGAGCATGTGTTAGCGTTGAGTAGGTCTTTTCACCATCACCAGTGAAAATCCTTAGCTGTGCTGGGTAGATGCATTTGGCGCTGATGTTTTTTTGTTTTAACTGTTTGATTGCATCCTGCACCTGGGCTCTCTTCTTTTGCAACTCCGGCGAGTAATCATGGTCAAAGAATATCGGCTCTGCTTTGTAGAGGATCTGCCTTTGGCTCCAGGCTTGTCTTAGAATAGCGTCCTTCATGGAGTAATCCAGAAACTTGACAATCAGTGATCTCGGAGTGGCATCGGGGTTCTTTGGCTTGGCTGGTAGGGATCGGTGGGCTCTCTCTATTTGTAAATTCACTTCAGGCATCGGTTGAAGGACTGATTGAATTAGGTCCTTCACAAAAGCCTTCGCATCCTTTCCTTCACTCCCTTCGGGCACCCGGTAAATTCTTAAATTATTCCGTCTTGACCTGTTCTGCAGGTCTTCACACCAGGCCGTCAGTTCCATCTCTCTATGTAACAGGTACCGTATTGCTCTCTGGTGTCTCATCCCGATATCCTCCGCAGCGCTAATACGTCCTTCTGCTTCCGTAGTTCTTTTTTCAAGTTTAGACATTTCGCCTTCGAGTTCTTGCATGGAAGATTCAAGTTTTGTCAGCAATAATCTGGTCTGCGTGTGTCCGTCTAGATTTTCTTTCCTTAACTTCTCCAGTTCAGCTAATATTTTGGACCCAGGGTCACATGTGCTAGCATCCGCCGCACCACTCGGAGTCTATATTAAAGTTAGCTGATTCAAATTTTCGTTTTTGTCCTTCATGTGCTCCTGTTTTGAGCCTTTGCCTCTCAAAGAAGTTGCCATGCCGAGTTTGTGCAAGTTTGCCGATTTTTAAGTATTTTTGTTAGGAAATTAACAGTTGAAGCAACGGAGCTCCGTTTTAAGCTGCTGCCTCCAACATGGTGTCACCGGAAGTCCAGTTTGGAGTGATTTTCAATATGATAAATGCTGAAGACTAAGAGTAAGTGTACAGTATGTTTTTTATATTTAATCTTAGCGATAAAATTAATTGAGGTACAGCGTGACAAAAATTTGTGTGGCCCCCGGCAACAATCTGGGTTTCTCATGTGACCCCCTAGGAATAATAATTGCCCACCCCTGCTTTAGCCGGTTGGTGTGGATCATGTCAGGGTCCGGTGGCTGTCCAGCTTGTCATACCTGATACTCTTTCTTGGATGTCTGCTGTTGTAATGTTAAGTGGCTCTTGTTCTGGGAGATTGCCGTAGTCTGCTCTTAGATCCACTAGTCACTGAGCATTGGTGTTATGTGATGCCTCCTTCTCCCATATGCTCCTCCAGTATTTTTCAGTTTGAGCCCTGGGTGGATCTGTTCTCGTGTTGTTACTCTGCCACTGAGAGTATACTTTGGATGGTTTGGTGGAGAACTGGGACAGCCGAAAATTGCACAGTGTATACTGGCCATTATAGACAGTTTGTTGTACTTATGTATAAATACAAACAAATGTGTGTTTATAATGATAATTAAATGAGATGAAAGAAAAGAAAAGGGGTATAACTATACATTTTTATTAGATTTGTTTTTATTAGAAAAAAGGACAGCTTGTGAGACTATAAATTCTTAGTGGCTTAAAATGAGAAAGTGGGAGAACAGGGAAAAGAAAGAGAGAAAGGACACAAATAGCATCGCTGGATGTCATATATAAGTTTTAATATTCAGCCAGTGTAATTGTTCTTTTAACGGACAAAAATCTTTGAGCAAAGGTGTAAATACATGTCTGTCACCACTCTGAAATTACAGGACAGTTTCAAAATCTGCAGCTTCTTCTGCTGGTGTCACAGCCTGAATATGATTGCCTGAAGATACTGTATGTAGCATTTTCCTTAATTAACCCAACATGGTGTGCTCTTTCAATGTCCCCTTCCTTAAGCCCTAGGCTCCATTTTTCTTCAAAGATTTGAACTAAAAAGGTTATAATTAATAATAATAATAATAATAATTACAATAATTTGTATATTCTTTTTTTCCCTCTCCTGCACATTTAGGAGTCTCAAATTGTTTTGATGGTGCAGGTTATCCAGCTGATCAATGTATGTGTGTGCTGTAATTTCTTGTCAAACTCAGCGCTTCATTTTCCTGAGAGTCTAACTTAACTCCCTGGTTATGCACTCTCTGAACTACAGAATGCAACAATATATTAGTTGAGGAGTTTTGATTCTGTTTCATTAAATCTGGCATTGTAGCTGGATCCTTTGCCTGAGGCTTGAATTTTTGTTTGTTGCCTCGTATTCATCAACCACACAGTGAACACATAACATAGGCTAACCACAGAAGAAAATAATTTTTCTTAAGGTTTTCTGAAAATAGCCAGACAATAAAAATACTGTAAATATTATTCAGAATCAAAGTAGACAAATTAAATTGGTCTCAACATCAAATAATGACCTAACCACTTGTTGTGTATATTGCCCTAAAATATACAATCATAACAACATACCATAAAATTATGTATCAAAACATAGGTATATTTCCTTTGATATAGCTCAATTACTTTGACAGTTGGCTGCTGCTGGATGATGCTGCTAAGGGATGCACACTTAATTAATTTATCTCTTTTCCCTTGTTGTCCTGAAAGCTCCTCTTTCCTCTGTCACAATCCTGAGCCGTGCAGAGAAAATGGTCATCTGTGGTCTTTCTGGTGACCGCTGTCGCAAAGATTCTGTTGGCTCTGGCCTTTGCTGTCCCCTTACTGCTGTGATAGAGTAACTACTTGTAACTGACAAAAGTAATCGAGTTAATTCAGTAAAAGAAACATTAAAACAGATTCACTTACTGCACTGGGTGTGCACTGGGTTGCTAAAGACCAGCCACTCCAGTAGCCTCTCCATTGGGTTCCTAGGTTAGGCACATGCGTTTTCCCCTTGGTCAAATAAATAGTTGGTTTCTCATTTCCCACCACCTCTCAGTCACCAGCACCGGCTTATGGCCACATCAGTAGCTAGCTTAGGCAAGGATATAGCCTCTTGCCAGCAGCTTCACAAAGTCTTAATTTTGTCAAATCAGCGGGCTAAACTTCAATGACTAACTTCCACCAGCATGCACCTGTCCATTTTAGCTCACAGCATCATTGCCTGACATCAGTCCCTCTGTAACTCACAACTCAATTTTGAATTTCAATTTGAAAGCAGTTCATAATTTGAAAGCCCCTGATTTAAACATTAAACGCTGAGAAGAGCAACAGGAATAGCTTAAATAGAGTAAATGGGTTATGTAGGATGTAGGGTATGGTCACACATGCACAAAACTAACATTGGCAAATATACATCTCCTGTCACCTTCAACTTAATGCAAGCAAAGGGATGAATAAAACATCTGCTTCAAGTGGCAAAGCAAATTTGTTTCTTTGTAAACGCACCACTAACATCATATTTCGCAATATTTATTTGCAAGCTTGCAAACATTAGCTAGCCAGCTAGCTTTCTGTGTCCCTCACACCTGGCACTGCCCACAGTCAATACAAATATCACCTCGGCCGGTGATGGTAACTTGCCTGCATTCACTCATGTGTGACCTTGTCCTTCTACAGAGTTAAATTTGTCACATGGCATTATTAGTGTAGCTGGTGTTGTGTGTCTGACCTGGTTCTTTGCTGTATGATCACATTAGTTGTTACTGTGTACCATCATGAGTCTTCCTGTTCGACCAGTCCACGCTAGGCTACATCGCTCTGCTCATTGCTACTTTCCACGGCCTGCTGTTTGGATGGAAGCGAGCCTTTGAGGAGGAAGCCTACCGTTTCTACCTGCCCCCCAGCTTTGTGGTGGCCCTGGCCCTGCCGGTGTGTGTTATCCTGGGGAAGGTGCTGATGCTGCTTCCTTGTGTGGCCAGCAAGCTCCACAGAGTCCGCCGGGGCCTGGACAGCAATCACCACCGGTGCCAGCGCCTGGAGCCAGTGGGCTCAGCTGCCCACGTTTCACCTGAGAGAATTACCATCATGTGATTGCTGCAGCACAGAGCTGTTTGCTCGCTCATTGTTTTGATTTACCAGTACTGCCATAATTAGTTGTTTTAATGAAGGAAATGAACACTATTTATTCATGATTCTCAATGGGGGAGGGGTATTCTTACTATGTTACAGTAGACAGTTTTTGCTGATGTGAATTGTGTAGTGATTAGCTGTTACTATTCACTTAAACTCCTGACCTCGTGTTGTTATTGCTGGTGTGTTACAGTTTGTCCATCTAAACTGTAAAATGGAATATTCTTCACTTGATTGTATCTGTATTTCACAAATTCTTGTTTTAGACATTACACTGAGCTACAGAGTTTTTGTCATGACTGAACTCTAATTTTATTTGTTCTACTCGGCAGGGGAAAACAGATGCATACAATACATTCTCACTCTGACCTCGTCACATATAAGCGTTTGGTTGTGGACTTTCCACGTCGACATATGACATGCAAGGTACCCTGGGTGCATTGGTTGTTGACGTTCTGGGACACCGCGTAAACTTTAGCCTGTTACATGCATTGTCTGTTTTCAAAATACACTTCAGTTTTCACAAGTTTTCTTTTCAGTATTGTTTGTATTCTCACAGTTCACAACAAAAATAATTCAATTTGGAAATGGGTAAGTCACATAGGAGAAATTATATCAAGTTAGATCAGATTGGGGCACATTACTAGTTTCTGTTACATCCTTTAGTGTTTGAAATTGTTCCTATTTTAGTTAAATTGGGCCTAATGCAAGAGGCAATATAAACAAATTTTCTCTTATTTTTGTTTGTATTTACTGTTTGTCCTTATTTGTTAGTACCCATTAATTTCAAGGATTCATCAATGTTTTATTATTTTGGCTCTTCTCTTTGGTATGAGAACATTTTACAAGTGGTCGTGAGTACTCTGACCAAGACAAGAGAAAAAAAAAATTTTCACAGTGCACAAATTGTCCAATGCAAGAAAAAAAATGTTTCAAATTTAAGGAACAGAAAAAAATGAATGAAAATCATATAATCAAATTTAGATTATTATAATAATAATTATAATGATTAGATTATCAATAAATTCATGGGCCAAATAAAAATTGCTATAATTGGTTCATTGATCCCAGTGACTGCAATCTCAGTTACTTCCTCTGCTGTCCGGTACTGGAATGTGACTAAGTACATATACTCAAGTACTATACTTGAATACAATTTTCTACTTCTACTCCACTATTATTTGATAACTTAAGTTGCTAGTTACTTTACAAATTAGGTTTTTGAACACAAACCATATACAAGTGCAGCTTAAACTATTACTCAATTGGTTAGAAAACTAATTGGCAACTAATTTGATTGATTCATTCATTCATCTTCTAACCGCTTCATCCTCTTGAGGGTCGCGGGGGGGCTGGAGCCTATCCCAGCTGACATCGGGCGAGAGGCAGGGTACACCCTGGACAGGTCGCCAGACTATCGCAGGGCTGACACATAGAGACAGACAACCACTCACGCTCACATTCACACCTACAGACAATTTAGAGTTATCAATTAACCTAATCCCCAATCTGCATGTCTTTGGACTGTGGGAGGAAGCCGGAGTGCCCGGAGAGAAACCACACTGACACGGGGAGAACATGCAAACTCCGCACAGAAGGGCTCCCACACCCGGGATCGAACCAGGAACCCTCTTGCTGTGAGGCGACAGTACTAACCACCACACCACCGTGCCGCCCCAACTAATTTGATAATTGTTGAAATTATTTTTCCATGCAAAAACATTTCATGGCTCCAGTTTCTCAAATATGAGGACTTGCTGCTTTTCCTTTTATTAAGTTTATTTTTGATTGATTAAATGGATTCAAAATTTTCTGCATGAGTATTTTTACTTTTGATACTTAAATACATTTTCTTGTTTGTACTTACATACCTTTATTATTCATTTTTATTATTAATATTTTCAGTGCAGGACTTTTACCAGTAACAGAATATTTTTACTGTGTGGTATTAGTACTGTTACTTAAAGGTCCAGTGTGTGGGATTTAGGGAGATGTATTGGCAGAAATGTAATGTAATATAATAAATATGTTTACTTTAGTGCAGGGATGTCAAACTCATTTCAGTTGGGGGGGGCCGCATACAGCCCACTTTGATGCTAAGAGGGTCTGACCAGTAAAACCACCGCATAATAACCTTATAAATAACACCTCCAAATTGTTTACTTTCTTTTAGTGTAAAGAATTACAAACACAATTATTGAACAATCCATTTACAAAACAGATGGTAAGCAGCCTGAGATGTCTTCACAAAAATAACTGCAGTTTCAACAATGTGTCTCAGTATTTCCACATTCCGTCAATCTATTGTTCACTATTAGTTTACATGTGCATTACAATTTACAGATCACAGTGGATCTAAAAAGGTACAAAACATTAGTGCAAAAACATTCTGAAAAATTCACAATTACTGAAAATGGCATTTACGAAACAGATAATGAACAGCCTGAAATTTCTTAAGAAAAATAGTGCAATTTTAACGTGTCTCAGTTTTTCTACATCTAGTTGGTCTACTGCTCACAGTCATTAAATGTGCATTTTTACATACATTTGTGCAGTTATGCTGGCTTCACCACACCAAACTAAGTGGAAGCTGTTGAAGAAGCAGGTTGAGTTATCTCCTGCCTTAGAGATCAAAAGCTTTGGCAGTACCTTAGCAATAGATTCTTTGACCTAAACCTGCAAATTGACAACATTTTGCACAGTGTTCCATATCTTTAAATATGACAACAATAAGTATTCACTGTATTTTGGTCAGGCTGGAAAAGCCTCTGAAGCAGAATTTTACATGAAGTAGGCTACTCACTACTTAACTTGCTCCTGAGATCTGGCATCTCTTAGCCTTCACAAGTGCATCAATGTTAGGTGTCAAATCCTGAGCTGTTACCATTTTCAGAATTTCATATAAGTGCTTGTGTGTGAGTCTGGAATGCAGTTTTGTTTTATTGATGCTCATCACAGAAAAAAGTTGTTCTCAAAGGTAAGTGGTCCCAAACATTCACAAAACCTTTGCAGCCAGGGCTATCAATTTTGGGTACCCTCGTAAAAGATACTGATAAAAAAGTGTCCAAGCCCACCGAGGCAAATCTGTTTTTCAAATCTGAGTCACGCTGCAAGTCAGTTACCTCAAGTTGGATATCTATGGGGTGAGATCAGTCTCATAATGAATGAATTCATGCAGGGTTTTTCACAAATGCACATGCTCTGGTTCACATTTGTATTTCGGACTCACTAATGCACACGATCTCTTTCGCAAATGCACATGCTCTGGTTCACAAATATCATTTTTATGCAAACTTGTAATATAAATTCGGAAATGCACACGCTCTACTTCACAAATATTATTTTTATGCAAACTTGTAATATAAATTCACAGATCATACAAATCGCTGAATGTGCATTTACAAACTGCTTCTCATTTGTGAACCTCTACATTTGTGAGAGAAATCTGTGTGGTGAATTTTGAGACTCCCCTGACGTCACAGGCCAATGAACGCCACCATTGGCTGATAAATCTGTCAATCAAATTTATGATTCTGATTGACAGATTCATCAGTTAATCAGGTGTGTTTGCTTTCAGCCATTCGTATGGCTCCTTACATTTTCTCCACACTTTTAAACCAATCTCAGAGCTACTGAGCTACTGTTTGCAGTGTTCAAACAAGACGCGCTAGACTGAAACGGTGGAAGAGACATGGATCAGTCTCAACCTATAAGTGACACATTTATCTTATTATCCCCTCGTTGTATATCATGCAATGTTATTGAATTATAATGAGTTGAAGCGTTCTGCTTAGCCAAGTAACATGTTTGAATGAACATAAACTATGAATACAGCCTATGTAAGGAGCCATATGATTGGCTGAAAGCAAACACACCTGATTAACTGATGAATCTGTCAATCAGAATCATAAATTTGATTGACAGATTTATCAGCCAATGGTGATGTTCGTTGACCTGTGATGTCAGGGGAGTCTCAAAATTCACCACACAGATTTCTCTCACAAATGTAGAGAGGTTCACAAATGAGAAGCAGTTTGTAAACGCACATTCAGCGATTCGCATGATCTGCGAATTTGTATTACAAGTGTGCCTCAAAATAATATTTGTGAAGCACAGCGTGTGCATTTCCGAATTTATATTACAAGTTTGCATAAAAATTATATTTGTAAACCAGAGCATGTGTATTTGCGAAACAGATTGTGTGCATTTCCGAATTTATATTACAAGTTTGCATAAACATTATATTTGTGAACCAGAGTGTGTGCATTTGTGAAACAGATCATGTGCATTAGTGAGTCTGAAATACAACTGCGAACCAGGGAAGGGAGTGTGACTCTCTGATGGTGGTGTCAGAGAGGAGGATGCTGTCTAAGCTACGAACTATCTTGGACAATGTCTCACACCCACTCCACCATGTGCTGGTCAGGCACAAGAGTACTTTCAGTGGGAGACTCATACCACCAAGATGTAACACTGAGCACCACAGGAAATCATTCCTGCCTGTGGCCATCAAACTGTACAACTCCTCCCTCTGAGTTTCACACACTGCAATAATCTAATGTAACTTGTGCAATAACCCCATTCACCCTGACTGTATATATTCTGTTTGTGTAAATAATCTTGTTCAGTTTACAATATATATATGTATATATATATATTTATTTACGTTTATGTTTGTTAATAATTCCTGTTTATTTAACTATATATTTGTAAATACTATTGTTTAAATTTCTTATATTTTCACATATCTTTCCTCTCTTGCAAGGAGCACCTGTAACATAAATAATTTCCCCTCGGGGATCAATAAAGTATTTCTGATTCTGATTCTGATTCTGATGTAGTGGGGATTGAAGGGGGTCCCCAAGACACACATAATACAATAAGCATTCTGCTGGCATTTTAGCAAAAGGATTTTAATCAAAAACAATAACAATGTGTGCAAATAAGAAAAAACCTCTATTAACCATGAATGTATGAGGAGTTTTATGGGGCCCTCAGAAACTTGGGGCCCCAGACAACCGCCTAGATTTGCCTAATGTTAAGTCCACCGCTGAATAGCACTCACATTTCTTAAATGGGGGAAATGAGCAGGGTCACCATATGACAGCTGAACCTCCCACAAAGCCAGCTTCAACTGTAAAGCTCTGCTGTCATAATACTATGTGACAACTTTGTTGCGGCCTTGCATCACTTTGTTCAGAATATTCAAGTGCTCTGTAATATCCACCATAAATGCAAGGTCCCGCAGCCATACCGCATCCTGCAGCTCCGGCACTGGTTTTCCTTTTTGCTTCATAAATTGTCCAATTTCCTCTTGTAAATAAAAAAACGCATGAGCACAGATCCTCACTTTAACCACTGTACTTTGGTGTGGTACAGCAGGCCATGGGTAATGTGTTTATCATTAAGAAGGCTGTCAAACTGACA